CCCCCCCCCCCCACCAGGCTGAAGACTTACGCAGAGATGGTCTTCTCCCGGGGCTCTGGTGGCAGGCCCACTGTGAGCTGCTTCTGGTGCGACAGCAGGTCTGTGCAGGCCTACTCATTTAGAGAAAAGGGTGAGGGCCACGGCGACAGCGGGGGGGGGGGGGGGGGGGGGGGGGGGGAGAGCGGGGGTGGGGTGGGGTGGAGATTAGCAAAGCCAGCAGGGAAGGGTCACTCCCAACAGAATCAGAAATTTACCTTTACAAACTTTATGACCCATGGTGTCCTTTATTTGAAAATTCATATACAGACCCCGTACTGAACAACCTAGGCAGGGCTGGGTCCCTGTGATCTTTGTGGCCTGGGCCGGGCTCTGCAGGGCCCATTGGGGTATTTAATGCCCATCCACTGTAGCAAACACATTGGATCCCCGGATATCCTACAAGGGAGATGAGCTGTGACGAGTCCTAAGATACCAACGTTAAGGGTTAATGACCATATTACAGTCTTAGCTTGCCAGTTTCTCCATTATTCACATAAAACAAATACCATCATCTTACCATAACACTGAACTCTAACGTCTTAGAAAGCAGTTCTGGATTTTGCAGGGCCTCGGGGCTAAAACGGTAATGATGATTATACTGCAGATGTGCAGAAATAAGAACGCTCTGTTTAAGGGTGCCAGGCCACAGAGCATTTTCATTTGATTTCTTGGTAAACCTCTTTCTGCAGCTACAAAGGAACAACACTAATCAACTTGAATCTCATTTCCTCTGCTTGTCTTCCAAGAGCAGTGGGAGGTCAGGAGAGGAGGGCCTGTGCCATTCACGTATGAGATAACTGGTTTCCTTTACAAATAAGAGGTGCTTGCCTCCAGCTTTCCTAACACAAAGAGGGCATGGGTCTACAAAGAACAAACGGACTGCCCCAGTGCACTTGATCTGACCTCTGCCAGGACCTCCACTTTCTTCCTCAGCAGGCCAGAGATGTAGCGAATCAAACCCCACTCCTGGTTCAAGCCAGCTTTCCCATAGAGCTCGCTGAGGAGGTTGTGAACGGTGACCCCGTGCTGTCCGGAGAGATTTGTGTCCCAGCTGGGGCCCCTGTCAAGAGAGAGAAAATCCCAGAAGTATGACCTGGAATGCTTAAAGGCTGGATTCACTTGGCAGGGAGGAAAATGAATCACTGTACATTCTGCCAAACTTTGGGGGCCTCCCCGTGCCTCTGAGTCTCACCAAGAGGGTTCCATCCTACCAAAGCACCCCTTCTATTTGAAACAGAAGCCTAACATAAACAGGGAGATCCTGGCCTCACTCAAGCCTTCTCGTCCTGAGAGGCCAGAGCTGGTGGGTAGAGAAGGAGACAGAAGTCGGCTCATGGTGATCCTGGGTTATGTGGGTGAATATAATCATGACCTGCTTTGCTGGAAGACCAAGAAAACGACAACAAAGAGTCCGGGAGCATGGAGAAGGCTCGAGCTGGTGAAGACCATAAACTTACTTTATTACATACAGAATGTACAGAATGTCTGCTTGGTCCTGTAGGTTTGAACAATCTTTCAGCTGCTCAACCAGCTTGTCACAGTCCACATCACCATGGTCATCTCTGGGCCACTGGAAGTCGTCTTCGGGGGCCTGGCCATACAAAAGCCAAACAGCGAGGGAGAGGGGCTGAGCATGTGAACTTTCAGAAGACCAGGAAGTGACACACCAACCGGGTCTTGAAACTCTGTCACTGCTGTGCTCCGGGTTTCAGTGACTCTTCCGTAGCTTTTTATTTATATGTTTTACTATTTCTGACCAGCGAATCATTGGGTTAGTCAATGTCTGAAGAGCCCAGACGGAACAGATGAAGACATGTGTATTTATGCAACGTTCAAAAACGGGTTAAAACGAAGCCCTGGTGTTTGAACTCAGGCCGGCAGTTACCAGCGGAGTGGAGGGAGGAAGCAATTGGGAGGGCACAGGGGGCAGCTGTTTCCACCGGTCCCCCGGTTCTAGCCTTTACGCCTTTCTCTGTATGCTGTACTGCAATAAAGATCTTTTGAAAGCAAAACACAAAAAATATGTAAGTTTTAGACAACCTCCAATTGAAGTCAGGTTAAAATATTCTTCAGTAGACACTGAATCTTTCTATTCACGTAGGATAAAATCATAGACAAACTCCTAGATAAAATGAATTATAGGAATCAGTGGGAACACCCTGACATTTTATTCTCCTCAGGGATCTTTTTACTTACTTCCTCTAGTGAGACAGATTCTGATGATGGGCAGAAAGGCAGTAGCCTTTTCCTACATGCAAAGTATCAAGGTTTGCATCAAATGCATTGTGGATACTAACAAGAGGCAGATCGCAGACAACCAAGAGCGGGTTCCCACTGAAACCCAGAACTTTTAATCCCAAAGGTCCCGGACATCAAAAAATGTTCACTTTTGAGTTCAACCCCACAAAAGAGTTCTTGGGAGTAACACCAACATCGAAAAACATTACACTAAAACAAAACAAGACAAAAGTGATTCTAAATACTTTACCTTATTTAGGAGTGGCTGAGGAGAATCAACAAGATTTAGTGATTTACGGTGGGTACTTAGAACTTTAGTTGGCAAAGTCATGGGAACAACTGGAAAACAAAAGAATAAAGAAAGCCCTTCTGAGGAGGAGGAAGGATAAGATACTTCTTTTGAGCGTTACGGCGACTACTCCTTACCCAATACAAACCGACTAAAGGAACGATTACTTATTTAAATTAATTTCAGCAAGAATTTACCAGGTAGCCACATGATGTGCTAGACCTGGGAACGAGAGGTGAGCAGGACATCGATCTCGCTTCTCCCTCCTGGAACTGAGGGAAACGACATAGCATCTGAGGACTGGAAGGGGCCTTAGAACTGATGGGAGGCCGACCTTTGTCCTTCGGATGAGGAAGATGGGAACGACAGAAGGAAGAGCACGTGTTCGGGGTCACTGGCCTTCTCCTCATTAAGGTGTCGGCTTCCAGAAGTCCAGTGTGCATTTCACTTTGCCAACGCCAGGTGTTACCACTGCTGGTGTTTAACCACCTTTGGATGCTATCATTACCAGTTATTTATTCACCAAACCATCTGCGTCTTCCAGGCTAGGTCATACCATCTTGGGAAAAGAGGAAGTTTTCAACAGAGAGAGGTGGCATATTTATAAGGCAACTTACAGACCTCCAGTTTACACTAGTAAATTAAACACACATTTTACTTCCTCTCAACCGACCACTAACACTGTAGAAAATGATTTTTTTTTTTTAAAAGACAAATCCTCAAGAAAAGGGGAAAGCAGGGGTGACAAGAGAGTAGTAATGGCATTTTGGAAGCGGGGAAGCTGATGGATGAAAGATAACTGACTTCGCAGACAGAAAGCAAAGGACAACCAGAGCCCAAGCCTGCAGTGGGAAAAACCAACAGTCAGATTTGTATCAGAGAATCCTCAGAAGTCTCTCCTGCTGCACTATAGACCTCTGAAACTGGGCTCCAGAAAGGGTGTCCAAACATAAGGAAGACTGCGGAGAAGCGGTGTAAGAAGCAGGGAGCTCCTTAGATCCCTTCCTCAAATCCAGACAGCTGGGCAACTGCCGTGCTCACCCCGACAGAAGACTAGAGGGTCTCTGTGAAGAGGGTAAAAGCCGCAGGTGGGGTATGTGGCACACCTAAAGGACGTGCACAGTCCTGAGGTGGAATAAGTGACTCTACAGCTCCCAGCAACCAGACCCTTACGTGTCAAAAAGGAGACTGAAAAAGAGATGGTAGGGTGTCTCTGGGAAATCTACCCAGCCCGCACCCGTTAATCCCACAGGCTCCACCTACACGCTTAGAGACTGTCAAGCAGGAGCAGGTAACCAAGAAACACCCAACACTGGAGGAAAGACTCTAGTGTGGAAGACAGAAGCCAAAACAGGAAAAATTGACTTGGGGGACCTGAAAAACGTTTAGGGAGAAGAAAACGTGAAAACAAAACCAAAAAGTCCTGCTGTTAATATTCTTAGAGTAATAAGAAATTAAATTGCATGCACGAAACAAGAATGGGTGCAAATCAGAGAACAGAGATTTAAAGCCTGATAGCAAAAGTGAAAAAACTCAATCGAGGGGGTGGAACATAAAGTTGAAGCAACTGCCCTCAGAAGAGAGCACAAGCCAGAGAACCGGAAGACAGAAGAGAAACACTAAAGACTTCTCTGAGAGGGCAACAGTGGATTCACAGGTGCTAGAGAGAACAGAGAAAATGTAAGGAAGGAAGCGAGTCAAGACATTTTTCAGAAAAACTTTACAGGACTGAAAAAAAAAAATTCCCAGGGTTGAAAGGGCCCACTGAGCCTCCAACACAGGGGATGAAAATATACCCAGATCGAGGCACATCCCTGAAATTTCACAACCTGGGAACAGAGAAGATCCTAAAAAAATTTCCAAGAGAAAAACAATTCATATTTGAAGGATCAAACACCAGAACAGGATTAGATTTCTCAAAAGCAAGCCTGAAAGCAAAAAGACAGTGAAGCAATGATTTCAAAATTCTGATGAAAAATGTATTTTCAACCTAGAATTCTATAACCAAACTCTCAAATGGATATACAGAATATCTGTAGGTATTTTCAGACTTGCAAAGCCTTGACAGTTCTCTCAACCGAGCACCGTTTCTCGGGAAACTACTAGATATCTTCCACCAGAGTAAGAGAGTAAGCTAAGAAAAAGGAAAAGTAGAGATACAGAAAGCAGGAGAGCCAACCCAGGAGACAAGGAAGTCTCAAGGGACTCTCCGGGATGCTGGCGAAGGAAGATCCCAGGATGAAATCGACACCCCAGACATGGAGGGCACCCAGGCAAACGGGGCAGGGAGCTTCCGAAACCAGCAGGCTGAGGGCTGCCACCACCGTGCCTGCCCCCTGTACCGTTTTAAAACTTGGCGAAGCTATTCTAGAATGTGTTCCACCAAAGGAAGAAATCGAGAAGAACATGCCAAACTCAGGAAACAGGGAGGCCAACTGAAGAGATAAGCAAAGGAGATTCCAAAGATTATAGTAAAGAGAAGTCCTAGGATGCCAGGTGTGCAAAAGGCCTAGAGCACAACCAAGCAGACGGAGGAGACTTGTGGGCTCTACAAAAAGTAGTCCAACTGAGAGACTCATGGATATGACTGGCCTTGTGAAAATTTGTATTGTGGGCCACTGGGGGCAAAGCAAATGAAAGAGAGCAACTTTGAATAAAGTTAATAGTATTCGTGACTTCTAAAGTTAGTGGTACGAACTTTAGAAAAAATAAAAACTGTAATACGGTCACAATATACTATACAGCTCAGTTGAGAATACTTGCATACATATGGTAATATGAAGAGCGAATACCGATTAAACTTGAATATAACTGCCATCACTAGGTTATGGGAAGCGAAGCATAGGAGTGGTGATTTAAGACAGCTACATCCTCATCCACAGAAGAGAAAGCCAACACATACTGAATAAAAGTCGACACATCAAAAGATTGCATGATACACACATTGTTTTAGAAAAAGAGACATGTAAATGCCAGAAGAAACAGCTAACGGTGGAAAGTGGTCGCCTCTAAGCAGGACTGGGTCAACGAGGAGGAGGCAGGAAATCTCTGCATTTTGTGGTTTTTTACAATTCTCTGACTTCTAAATTATGCTCATGTATTACTTTGAGAAGTTATTTCAACAGGCAGAAAAGAGTTTTAATAACGCACATGGAATTTCCAAACCCTTTGCTTTTGCCATCACGGAAAGTATATCCCGAGTGGAGTGGATGGCACTGAAAACATGGCTGTCTTCTGTCTTCTTAGAAAGAGGGGGCAGATAGCACTTGGAGGAGGTGCTTTGGAGGAGGTGGTTGATATACTGGTCAAGTTCATCCTCGCTTTCTGTAACTGGACAGGCAAGAGAAAGAGCCAGTGAAAAGAAGCTGCAGAAATATTCTAAATGTGTAACAGTGATATAACATGCAGCGCTGAGTAGATTTAGTGGGAGACAACATTCGGCTATAGATACTTGCACCCCCCACTCCCAGAGGGTAATGAAATTTACAAGGATAAATGTATGTGTTGATAAAGTTATCGTCTGGAAACACCTCATCCTAGGAGAAGAAAATGCAGGTCAAGACAGATACGCATCATACCAAGATGAACTGAATATGTAACAAAACCTGAGGGCCAGCGGCTAAACATCTGAACTTTTTGTTTTGCCATGAGTGAGCTAAGCATTAGGGAGTGCCCAGCCCCCATAACCACAGGTCATTTCAACCCAAAACCTTGTTTAATTTGAAAAATGGTACATACATAGGATTTCATCACTCAAACCCAACCAAACCTACAAACCTAGATCACTCTACCATTCCTTTGAAAATTCAAGCAGGGGGTTTCTGTCTTTAGAACGTATTTTGTGAAAAATCCTCATTCCTGAGACTCTTTGTCCCTCTAGGTTAAAAAAAAAGCCCCACTTCTGCAGGTTAGGCTTTTAAACCCGCATTTTACTCATTTTAATACACACGAGTTTCTAAAGCCTCTTTTTTGTTATGTTAACGACCAATCACTTTCTGTGCTTGAGTCTCAGGGCAGTTTTCTCACAATGCCACAGTTTAAATATTCAACGAACCACCTGCAAAGGCATTTCAAGCCATACCTTGATTATAGGTATCTTCCAAATATCCTCCCAAGTCGGAATCAGGACTGAAGCTCCCTTCGCTGTCATCATTAAACAACTTCTCATCACAGTCTGGATCCAGGAAGGTCAGATATGTGTAGAAAGACGTGGTAAGAAATTCCGAAAGGCTCCCTAATTTTACTCTGCCAGCCAAGGAGAGACTATGTTAGACATACAGGTGTATGTGGACAGACTTCCACTATGAATCACGGAGAAACGTTTCAACAACCAGATGGTGCTTCTGCCAGAATCGATAAATACATCACTCTGCAGATTGCCCCACATAAGTAGTCAGCCAAGAAATTAAAACGAAAATTCAATACCAAGTATAAAGTGGGAGCACGTAGCATATTAAAAGCCAAAATGAATCATGCTGATTTCTTACTCCCAAACCCAACACAAACAGAAGTCTATCTTACTGAACCGACCAAAGTTTTACAAAACAGACTGAGCAAACCACTTTTAACCAGAACCAAACAAGCCTTGGGGGTTTTTTCTGCCCTAAAACAACTGGACCAGAAGGAAACCTACCATGCAATATGCTCACGCAGGCACAGGTATGTGATAGGAGAGGCAGTCTCAGAGGCAAAGTTCTTTCTAGAAGGAATGCCATGGGGGACCATCCCCAGACCAGAGCAGATGCCCAGCGTGGCCTTACTACAGTTTCAGGCTGGGAAAAGTTCCACTGAAAACTGGAAGCTGGGTCTGGCAGTGTGGGGTCCCGGGTTCAGGGAGCACAAGGGAGGGGCCACCCCCTGCAGAAAGCCACCACTGTGTGCTTCTTAAAATGTTAGCTCCAGAGGCAGAAGACAATAGGATCCCGGGAGCTACCAGCATCAGATTGGGACATCAGATCAGCATCAGATTAGCAGCTGGAAGGACCGAGAGAAACATTTAAGGAACACACGAAGGAAGTATGCGAAGCAAGTGAGTTCGGGGGTGCTGGAGCTTCAATGGGCAAACGGACGACAGCCAGAAACATGGCCTGAGGGAAGGAAAGAAAAGTCTTTCCTTTAATAAAGTAACATCTTTTTCCCACCAGGGTCTTGGGGCCAGTTCTAATGATTCCTTTGCCTTGAGACTGGGGCCAGGAGGAGGTGAGGGGGAGCGTGGAAAGTTTCTCTCGTTGGAAGTTGAAAGGAGTCAGGTCAAAGGTAGAATGGCAGGAATTTAAAAAGGCTTCTGATAACCAGCTACCCCAGAAGGGTCTAGAGGGAAACTCTGGCATCTAGGGTTTTTAAAGCCCCTCAAACCTAAAGGAAAAGCCAAAATGAGACTCAGTGTTAATTATTTCCTTTAGGAAAGGTAGCCTGTTGGAGCCTAGGCACTCCCGTTTCTTTCCACAGTCCTCCGAATCGTTTGCCATGCTCTATAAACAGGAGGCCCTCCGGATTCGTGGGAGCCCTCATCCAGCTCAGCATGGAGGCTGAGGCCTGGTTTCTGGGTTCATATAGAGCTTCTGCACCTATTCATCTCGAGCCCCTCGCCCTCTGAGCCTACAGCTCCTGGTCTGTCAAACAGGAATACAGCCCACGACGCAAAGTGAAGACTAAGTCAGACAATGCATCCAAAGCAACAAAGAAGGCACTGCAAGTGAGCAATTAACTGGAGACAGTATCCTTTTTGACAATGATTAGATTTCAATTAAAGAGTTTGTTTTGCAAAAGTTAATTAGGAACGTATGGTATTTTCTCTTGGCTATAACGCCATGCACCAGGCGGTAACTTCTCCAAACCGCAGGTGGAATGTTCCAAAGTGCATGCCTACTGCAGTTATGGTGCTCGTGCTGCAAACGTAGATGGCAAAATGCTGGGGACGGTCTCACTGACACTCCAGGAGAAGATCGGAGTGGGGACATTCAAGTATACGGCAAAGGCGCAGCAAGCTCTGTGAGCAGAGGTGTGAACCCCAGCACTTCGAAATAGAGTGACTCAACTACGGGCGTGAGGCTAAGTGAAATATGCCAGTTACAGAAAAACATACTGGACGAGTCCACTTAGATGAGATATCTAGAGACACAAAATAGAAGGGTGGGTGTCAGGGAGAAAGGGGGAGCTGGTGTTTAACGGGTAGAGAGTTGGAGTTTTGCAAGATGAAGAGAGTCCTAGAGATTGGTTGCACAACAATGTGAACACAATGTTACTGAACCATATACTTTAAAATGGCTAAGATGGTAAATTATAGGTTACGTGCATTTTACCACAGTTTTAAAAACCACTGCAGTGGCAGCAGAGTCCCTAGTCTGGGGAGATGGGAGAAGGGCTGACTTCAAGACCCAAACACTTGGCGACTGACATTCTATCAGGGAACCAACAGAAGACTCCAGAGCCCAGGAAGGGTCACACCTCACTCAGGGCTAGCTGTACAGTGAGGTTCTTCTGGAACCCTTCTGGCATATTCCAAAGGATGTGGACATTAGGGCATAGAAGCTATAGAGAAAACTTCTGCCTTGTGACAGTCAGAGGGTACAAAAATGGAACGGGTTTTCCCAGGAGGTGAGGCCCCTCTATCCCTCAAGGTGCTTAACCATCCCACCTGGGAGCATCTGTGGTACTGTGGGCCCGTCAACTGGAATAGGTATCACTCCACTGAGGATGAGAGGACAATGGTCTAGGCAGGCCCATTCAAGGGCTCTGCTCTGAGGGCCCCTCAGGGAATCTGTAAAGTTCTATGAATTAGTCTTAAGGTCATAACACACTCAACTCAATTCAAGGAGTATTCACTGAGCACCTGTTAGATCCCAGGCACTGGGTGTTTTCCTCCGGGCCCTTTACTAGAGACAGACACAGCATTCCATACATGCGTTCCGAGAATGCCACTTTAAGAGACCTGACATGTTCACCTCCCTATGCCTCAAGCCACCTGGCACCGGTAAAAGCACCACAAACACCCCCAAAAGTGGCTTTAGCGAGGATTCCAGTTTCACGTGGGTGAACAGGTAAGTTTCAACTTCTTTTTTACTCTAAACTCCATGCTTCTACGTTCAGTGATTCATATGAAAAGCGGAGAAGGGCAGCAGAAGACTTTTTAAGAAAGGTCACGGATACCTAAAAAAAGAAATAAAAAATAAGTTAAAAAATCACAAATTACCTGGCTCCTCCAAAATATCCATCCTCTAGTTTTCTAATTGTAGAAAGAACTGCAGAATGAATATCTGAACCATCATTTGCTAAGGGGAAAAAAAAAAGACAAATTAGTTTATTTAATCTGGGAATACTTTTTGGTTTTCCGGGCATGCGCTGAAATGTTTTCATCAACACGATCTAATTAAAATACTTATGGCATAGAAGATTCCTGACCTCAGAAAGCAAACTGCTGAGAACCCCCTTGAGTACTTAGCTTTGTCTGTGGGACTCATTTCAAACATTTTGAAAAGGGCCCAAACCAACAGGGGGGACACGAATCAGATCAAGTTCATGAAGTTACTGAGCATGGTGTGGGTGATGGGGAAGGTGAGCGTGGGTCTGCCCGTCATCCGCCAGCAGGTGCACAGGTAGGCCAGTTCGATCCTCAGCATCTCCACGATCATCTCATTGTCCAGGGCCAGGTAGAAATGATGCTGGTCGGTAAACTGCAAGTCAGATCAGGCCAAGTAAAAAGCTGTCCTTCATTCCCTCGACACAACCCCAGCTGTCATTCATGGCAGCACTAATCCTTGCATTTTGTTTCCAGAGAAGGAGCTCAATCCTGGCTGTAATCCTCCCCCATCACAGGGCTCTCCCTGCAATCAGACAAAAATTGATCTGTCGCCTGCCCGGGAGCCATAGCTACATTAGCCTGGAAGGGAAAGGTGCATGGCTAGATCCATTTATAGCTCCGTGGATGAGGATTTAAGCACGCTGCCCAACACCACGGTCTCTGAAAGGAAATCAATAACTCCTTAATTCCTACGCATTCTAAGGCTGCTGGGCTCGGAGAGGATTTCCAAGTCAGGGAAGTGAGGGAACTGAGAGCCGGTGAGATGTGGAGACTGTGTTTACCCGATAGAGGGCCTGGTAAATGTGAACTAAAGGCACTACGGCCTGGTGTCGCTGAAAATCAAACTGTTCTAGCCTCTGGACCAGTACACACTCAGCTCTGGTCTGAAATTTGTTACAAAGGGAAATAACTCACAAGACTGAAGTGAACAACATGGGCTAGGGTGAAAAAGAACAACTTGGGGCAACTGACCCGTGACCCCACGGATGAGTGTGACCAGGTGGTGGGGTGCTGTGCCCACGGTGACAAAGTGAGCCCACAGCTGATTTTTCTAGCTGGCCAAACGGATGAAAAACATTTGGTTTGGGTTCTGCTGGACTACCTTCCTTTGTAAACAAAGACTCTGAGAAAAAGGCTCTATAATCAGTATATTTAGGATCTCATCAGGTGGGTTGGGGCCTGAAAATCAGACCGGCTGTGTGTTGCACAGAGGGTCTGATGACAACCTAAACAAGGGTTAGGGACTACAGCAATCACAGGCACGAGGGCTGCAAGTCAAGTGACACGGCGCTAGTGAATTTGGAAAGCGGAGTGAATTTCACTACTACTCGTGACCGAAAGCGACGGCACACTCACTCACTGAGCACCTACTAGGAATAAAGAATCGTACTAGGTACTGGGTGTCACAGTATGAATTTCTATTTGAACATACGCATGCACCTTCTGCCTCATTCTAAGTAGCTCACCAGGAAGAAAAGGGAACCTAATCAAAGGATGAGTGCTGCTTTGCTGCTGGTCTGCTCTCCTCACCTGGGGTGTAAAAGTAAAGATCTGGTTCCTAATCACATATAGCTTAGATGTTCCAAGCACGCCAATGTGCCGATATGGCCGCCCACTCAATTTCATGTTCTTATTCCGTCCTATTTGAAAAATAAAAAAGAAATGAGAGTTAGGACCGATATAGCAACATCTAATCCAAGAGACTTTGGCTAAGACTGCGCTTATTTTCATGCTAACCCACTTTGGGGTTTGGTGTTTCTAATACCATCCAACCCTTCTTTAAAATGGGGCAAGAATAAATTATAAACAAACCCTGCCACCTTCTTTTCATGCATGTATACAAACGGCACCTGATTCAACACCTATATGGAGTTAAACTATTGACGGAACTTTATGAAATGTTTACTTCTAATTTATTTAGTATTGAGCCATAATACTAAACAAAGTTAGATTTTAGATAAAGAGAACCCCCCTCCCATTTTAATGGGTGAATGAGCATTTTCTAAGAATACAGATAAAAATCAGAAACCTATTAAGACACAAGACTGATCCAACTGCAAATTTTCAGAGGTGGTGCCCTATTTTACAACAGATCTGGCGAAGGGCACAGCCAAGCGCTGGTGACATCTACTGAATGAGTGAGAATGTGCTGGTCTGCCACCCTTCTCCACTTTGAAGAGGTTGAGCCACACGCTTTGGTGGCTTGCCCAGTTCTTCACAATTCACACCTGTTGGTCTCCCCCACACCTGAAACCTAGAACCAAGATGCCCCCTCACCAAAACCACCCTGCTATTTCCCCAAACCTACCAAGCTTGGCATATATGTGACTAAGAATCCGGCCTGGCTGGACTCGGATTGGATGAATGTCAGCAATACTCTGGACGTTTACCCCATGTTTCCTCAACAAGTCCTTAATGAGGTTGTTTTCTGCCAGAACGGTGACTGTGAACAAGAGCGGAGAATCTGCATTAGACTGGGGCCTTCTGTCTCCTCACATGGAGAATATATTGTATTGAATATATTGAATAAGTTTCTGAAACTGTACTTCTGCTTCCTCCAGCCCAGACCTTCTGATATTTGCTATTCTGTTCTGTTCTCTTACATTAAAAAAAAAAAAAAGTCGCTGCTGAAGACCCATCAGCTGGTCCCGGCCTGCAGCTGGAAAAGCAGCCCGGTGGATTTACGGGCTGGCGTAGCAGCGTGTGTCGTGGTCAAGCGCAGACTGTGGAGTCAGGTGAATCAGTCCACCTGGACGTGAGAGTGGAGTTCGTGCCTCCAGCTGTCAGCTCTGGGTCCTGCGTGAGCTGACCTCTGAGCCTCATGTGTTAAGACATGGATGAGAATCACAACCGTCACGATTTCTATCTGATCGCAATGTTGTGACAGCTGGATGTGTGTCTGAGGTCCCGGAGCACGGGAGCGACGCAGGGTCTCTTGCCGCATCACAGGCAGGGGTGGGGAAATGAGTCCATGGCCGCAGAGAGGGCTGCCCTTCGTTTGTTCAATAATTGCTTTGAACCTGTTGACTGACTGTGTGCCAATCAACACAGAAGCTACAAGAACAGTACGGGCCTTGTCCTTAAGAAACGTAGGGTGTAATTTAGAGGAAATAAGGCCTGTACACCACGTGCGTTGATATCAGCTGCCACGTAAGTTGCTTGGCTACGTAAGAGGCCCGCAAGCTCCTCACGAGTCCTCCCCGGGAGGGAGGGGGACCGGTGAGCCAGGACCCGCACCGAGGGCTTTCCTGGTGACAAGTGCAGTGCATCTCGGGACCACCCTGTGAGGGGGTACCAGTTACGATGACCCCGAGGCATGGGGTGGTGAAATCACATGGCTCGGCAGGGACAGCACTGCGGCGGCCCAGGCTGGCCTTCCACCTCTCTGAAAGAGTTGCTGGCTGGACAGGAGGGGAGGCAGGTGAAAAACATGGGCCTGCAGCTCTGCGGAGAAGTCACACCTCAAAGGAAGCAACGAGTAAACCTTCACTCGGGTTCTGAATTTTCACCAGGGTCATGTTCTACTTTTTAAAGAATTTCAGTAATGACAAATGACGCGCGGTGAATCACTTGTGCCCCAGCTGCGATCAAGATTTAGATTCAAGAAAACAATTGCTTTGTAGAAAGTAACTTTGTGGTTGGAAGAATACTGTTGCCTTTGGGAACTAGTGAGTTATAGAAGGTATGTCCAGGAAGTAAGTGATAAACGCTAGAGCACACATACATACTTTTTACAAAGTGGGATGGGAAACTAGGGAATCTTTTGCATTAAAAAGAGCATTGGTTTTAGACGGTTGAATATGAACAGTAAACACGCTCACAAACCTTGCACTACGACATCAGGTTTGACGGAAGTGGAAAATCTTCTATTTAAGGGATCAATTTCTCCAGTGGCAAGGAATCCCTAGGAAAAGAGGAGGATTAACACTATAAAATACAATTAAATTTTACCTTAAACCCAACTTTGAGAATGAAATATTTTGGGGCTCAAAATATTCAGTATGTTATTCCTTTACGTTGTTTAAATCAATTGCTTATCTTCTCTGAAACACAGTACACCTTTTGGATAGCCACTGATACACGTATTGTGTTTCCAGCACCCAGCTCTCTAAGCTAGTCGGACATGCCAGCGTCTTGTGTGAGCGAAAAGGGCAATAGTGACTAAACTTCCCGAGTCCTTATTCCTCGCAGGGTCCCGTGCTGAGCCCCTCCACGTGCCTGGCCACACTCAGGCCTCCAAACAGGGAGGCACTACGATTATCATTTTATAAGTGGGGAAACCGAAGTAAGAAGTAACGAAGCACTTAAGGTAAGTGGCAGAGAGGGGACTTGGCCCCGGGGTGACTATCCTGAAACACAAAGCTCCCATCCCTGTTTGCAAAGAGCACTGTTTGCATATGCATCTCCTCACATCTTCTGCAAAGGACTGGAGCCCTCAGCAAGGGGATCAAGGTGTTCTAGGAGTTCTGAGGAAGAATCCGACCCAGTTCTGGGCCTAAATGAAGGCCTTTACATGGAAGAGGAAGAAACAGCTGTTTGTTCCCCCATCTCACTGACACAGACATCACAGCTGGAGAGTAATGCAGAAAATGATCAAGCCCAACCTCTTCACTTTACAGATGATGAAACCGAGGCTCCTGAGGCCAGAGAGCTAGTAAGAGGCAGACAAGACACATGAAATGTGTCTGACCATGAAATGGAGGAGGCAGTCACACCCATGAAACAGCTGCCCCACCTCAGCACCGGCAGCTCCTAAGGGCCGTTGCTACTGTGAGATCTTTACTTCTGATATTTTGCACACTAGGAACCCCAGTGGTATTGGAGCCACTACTCAAGCTCCCCACCCCCAACTTCTAGAGTCTGACAGAACACACAGGACTGGGCCAGCCTCACAGGCTGGAGCTCCTAGCTCTTCCCCCGGGACTCTTTCCTCCACACCCCTCCCTGCGGGCCCAGAGTAGTCAGCTGGGCAGGAGCCCCCGAGGACAGATGAACCCATCTGATAACCTCACCCACACACCATCTACACCATCACCCCCGTTGGGGAGGGGATTCATTTTTAGTAGACAAAAAAGCATTTGCATTTTAAAAACTTAAGCCTGGGGACGAGAGAACATTTAACAAGAAGAAAGGAGTCAGAGGCAGCAGACCTTCTAAGTAAGGGTGTTGGGGGCTGAGGGAACACCTGACACAAAACGAACCACAGGAAAATGAGCCCCTCCCTGCCCCTTCACATAGACAGACCGTGCAGCTGCGCCATTTCCTGTGCCCAGGACTGTGCCAGGGGAGCCGGAGGCTGACTTCTCCAAACCTGTATCTTTCACACATGTGCGGATCCTGACTGGGAAGCTTCTAGTCTCCTGCTGACCATCGACTCAACCAGGTTCCAGCCACAGGCCAGGAATGTGAGGGGGGTTGGTGCCTGGCACGCAGCGAACTCTGAAGTGGCTTGATTTAGTAAATATGGGCACACAAGCCCAGGCAGCAGGCCTCAGAGCAGACCCAGTCCACCTGCCTTTACAACTCTGAGTTGCCAAAGTCATTCACAGCCACGTGGGGCAGAGCTCCTACGCTCTTCTAGGGTCCCCTGTACCTCAAATCCGATGGCTTCCAGTCTGTGAGGTCCCCAAGTCCCCTACCTCTGCCAACAGCGAGCTGAGGATGTACAAGGACTGACCCCACAGATGGGGCAGCTTCCCCAGAGGAACTCTGTCCACCGTGTGGGGGTTCTTATACTCTTCATCTACCTGGCAAAGAGAAAAACCCAAAGTCAGAATGTCAGAGGATAAGGAGGCCCACGTCACTGTACATCGGGAAGCGCGCTGAGGATTTACAAAACACCACTCATTCGATCCCCGAAGCCAGTCCTGTGCGAGCGCTGGGGCAGGGAGGCCGAGGAGCTAAGGCCTTTGTGTGGGGGCCAGGTGGCTAAACGCAGCCGAAACGGAACTGAAATCCAGGCCTGGCTCCAGGCCAGCGCCCCTCGCACAAGCACACTGATGGCAGGAGGCAGAGGCAGGCACACGGAGCCTGGACTGACTTCTGTGAGCACCACTCTGGGCAGCAAGAAGTCTCGCAGCTCATGCTCGCGCTCGTCTATATGATGCGTACGATGATCTAAAGCACTGCCCTAGAGCCAAGGCAATGCATCGCAGGATGCTAAGTCAGGTTCCTCCTGTCTTGTTATCCCCAGGAGCTCACAAACTGTGTGCCTATGCAAGACGGTTACCAGAAGGTGGCACTATTTATTGAGGAAAAATAGTACTGTACTATTAGATCACTAATTTTCCACCAGGGACTCAATAAGCTGGATCCACTGGGAGCTTCTGACTCATCAAAATAAGCTACGGTTCTTTTTTCAGATGGACAGTGCTGCATATACATTGTAAAAGTCAGTCTGCAATTTTCTCTGTTGTAAACTCCATGCTGACCTTTGGATTTATTATTATTTTTTTTTTTTCAAGTAAACTCTACCCCATCATGGGGCTGGAACTCACAACCCCAAGATCAAGAGTCACATGTTCTACCGACTAAGCCAGCCAGGTACCCCTGACCTTCGGGTTTTTAGCCATTACAACGCTGGTTGGGGTTAATGTTAGTGACCGCTTTTTTCTTGCAGAAAACACAGCAATCGAAGAAAATAGGAAACACTTATCCTTCTCCAAAAGGGAAAGTCACACCACGAGGGGAGTCATACTCTGTGGATTAATCAGTGATGTTATTAATAAATTGTTAAAATTTGCTGCCGTAGTAAACATTAAGAAAACCTTAAACTCGTAAACTACACAGAATTAACCGTGCCAGTAACCGAAATGAGCTGCTGGCATGACAGTGTGGAAGGAGATTCTGCAAAATGTCAGAGTTATCGTTGGTAGCAAGTTTGGTTATCTTTGGGTAGTAAGAGGAGGGAGAAGTATTTTCTCCTTTCTACAGAATCCTGGATGTTTTACAGTGTACAGGATTACTTTCACAATCAGATTGTATGTTAAGGCTATTTGAAATGTAAGTAGTGTTAAGAAAGATTGCAAAGATCTGGAATGAGAAATACTTGATGCAAAGAACAGAAGGCAAAGTGTCTGGATCAAAAGACAGCTTGGCTCTGGCCTCCCCCCACCCTTGGGCCAGCTCCTGCCTCCCTGTGGAGGTGTCGCTGTCTCTCGGCCCCTCTCCACCTCAGTGCCCGCAGGTCCTCTAACGCACTAGGTCTTTGCAGTGTCGCTCCTATGTCTGCCTCCATTCCCCAGACCAGCTCCTTCACCCTCCACTAGCCTGTAACCCTCGTCGAGACAGAGCTGGCACTGTAACCCCTTCGTGCCCCGTACCTAGCTTGGTGCTGAAGAGACCACTTCTGGAGAAAAGGTGTTAGGTCTGAAAGGGGGATGAAAAATACCAAAAGGCCAAGCACGAACTCCCTTCATTTTAGATAAGCAGCTCTCGGTTACCTTGTTAGGTGGGATGGCATACAGTTCTGGCACCAGGTGGATCCCGTTCTTGCCTCTGATTAATATTCCCTCCAGGGCCTCTCGGTACTCTTGGACCTGAAAAATGGCCCCGTGCCCCAGCATGAAAGAGGAGTCACTAACACTGTAACAGGAGTACGACATACAAAAATACCTCTCTTGGCAACAGATTACTAGTAGGACACAGGGCCAAGAAATGCATGAATACCTTCCACCTCAGGAGGGCAGGAGGAACTAGGACTCTTGCCGACAGCAAAGGTTAGAAGGAGCTAAACGCGTCGGGCTTTTCTGTATTGTCTGAACTCATGACTTCAATATTTCACCCTTAACGTCTCACATATGTAAATTTTGTCTCACCAGCTAGACTGTATAAACTTCTTGGAGTGGAGGCCAGATCTTAAGCAGGGTATACCTATTTCGACCTACCGGTTTTCCACTTAAAAAGCCCTCATTCAAACATTTATTGCTCAACAAATACTTGCAAAATGAACCCGATGTGAGGAAAAGGAAGTGTATGTACTATGATTCATGGACCCGATTCTTAGGATGCACTGCTCAATATAACAAAAGCTGTTGATGTAAACATTTCCATGAAATTAAAAAGGCAGCGATAAAAAACCTATGTATGAAAAGGAAATAGACAAAAGGGGAAAAACAATCCTTAACCAGCCACCCAGCTATTTAACACATTTCATCTTTGGAAAACCTAATCAAATGCCTTTCAGATCTCATTTTCTTTACTTTTGAAATTTGTGGACAACAAAGTCTGAGCAGGGGTGTGTCATTTTTTAAAGATCATTGGGCATCAAGTGGAAGAGACAGAATAGGGCTAACAGTAGTAAATTCTACGAGGCCTAGAAAATAAGGTCCTAAAGCACATTCTTTTTTGTCTTCTCAACCTTTTGTTTGTAATAACTGTCAAACTTCATCACGATTGAAATTCCAAATCAATTCTTTTGAGACCTTTCAGTTCTGGGATAAAAAGACCGAAAACATAAGACCCGAGATAATCCCCAAGCATAACAGTAAGTATCAACGATAGGGGAACATTAACATTTCAAGCTTACTGCCATGTTGGGAAGGAAGAATTCCCTCTGCCCTTCAAGGTCCTTCTAGCTGGACTGAGACTCAAACTGACATGAGACAGATTAAGAGGAGAAAATCAAATTTAGTTACATACATATGGGGAATCCACACAGGAGATTCTGAAGACAGTGAGGCAACACGAGGTTTATCTGACATCCTGAGCTCAGGAGAGGGGTAGGGGTCCGAGGATACAAAGGGAAGGAAGACCATTTGCAGGAAGATGAGAGGAGATGTTGGGAAAACAAAGGTTGCCCTGCTCTGCACTTAAGTTTCTGAGGTAAAGAGGAATCGTGTCAGAAGCTCTCTTTCTGGTATAGGCAGGCAGTTGAGGGGGAGATTAAGAGCTTTTCTGGAATCTACTGGGTTTTGATTACCTTTAACTCAAAATAATGTTCATGCCAAAGTGGCCCATCTTGGGGTGGCCTGCCCGTGGCCCCTACACCCACTTCTGAAACCCCTCTCAGAATTTCTGAGCAGAGGCGGCTTTCAAAACCAAAATAAATCTTTGATTTCTGATCCCACGCCAGTACATGTGCTCTGAACAGGTTAAGACAGCGGTGAAGCATTTGTCTGTCAGTCATTCACATACGGTTCACGAGGATGGGTCTGCTCTAATGCGTACCAAAGTATGCACAGCAGCAAATGCTGAAGAAGTCTGTCTTGAACCAATGAATGCTGCATTAACAGATCTTTATTCGGCACTTACTATACACACCAGGCACAGGGAATAGATTAGTGAAGTGGTCAAAGACCGCCTCCACCACGGTGCTCTGACAGGTAAGTGGGAGATTAAATACAGCTATAGGTGCCATAGTGTGGTAAGTACTGTGGGACATATAAAAGGCTTTTTTTTTTTTTAATCCAACTTTTAGGATCAGAGAAGGCTTTCCGAAAAAACAGACATTTACAATGAATCAAGTGAAGGAGAGAGGGGCAGCTGGGGGAGAAAAGCAGGACCTGGGTACTTAAGAAGAGGGGAGACAGCACGGACTGTCCAAAAGATGGAAAGGGTTTCAGGGCATCCCAGAACTCAAGAAAGTAAGTAAACCATAAGAAATCAGGTTACAGTGTTGAAGACAAGGGCCAGATCTTATGAGACCCCACAAAACATGTGATGACCTTATACCAAGGCAAACCGGAGCCTTTGGAAGCTCTTAAGCAAAGCAGCGACACAATCTAATTTGCTTTTTAATAAGATGCCCCTGGCAATGGTATAGAGAACCAGCAGGGAGTGAGGCTGGAGGCTGGGCCACCAGTTAGAAAGCTGTTACATTACATGTTAGCTGAGGGTACTCTTGGACTAGAGCTGAAGGCAGCAGAAGCCTAGGCAGGTGAGAAGAAGACAACAGAACTAAACGTGTGTGGGCCAAGGTGGTCCCCGATGAACCCCGCTTCCCGTTACTCGTGCCTGTGTATAGTCCCCTCCCCTTGAATGTGGCACGACCCTTTAAACAAGAGAATGCAACAACAGTGACCCGGCCAGTTCCAGGCTTAAGCCTGAAGAAGGCGTGGGAGCTTTTGCTCTTGCATTCTGGGGGAAGAGGACCACCATGGAAAAAGCCTAACTGCTCAGAGACTACACTTCTGTGAGAAGCAAGGCCTGGGCCCACAAGCCCAGCCGAGGTCCCAGCCAATAGCCAGCATCAAGCTGCAGGCCAGGTGAGTGAGGCAATCTTGGAAGGCCATCCTCCAGCCCCAGCGAACCAGCTGTCGCCAAGTGAAGCAGAGACAACCCGTCCCTGCCGAGCCCTGCCCAAACGGGGCAATCGTGAGCAAATAAACAAAGCAGTTGTGGCTTTAATTCACTATGTTTTGGGAAAGCTCGGTAAGCGGCAACAGATAACTTAAAGTGCCCTCAATTCTTGCATAACCTTATATTCTAATACTAATCGGCACACCCATGGAATGAAAATGCCGATTATCAACACAACACCCAGCACTTTCTCACCTGAACGGCGTCACCGTTGAAGACCCCATCTATTATGAAATATGTCCAGAACACAGGCCATTCACATTCAATGTTTTCAAAGAGCTTGAGTTCAGCAGGGTCATAATGCAATCGGTTTGGGTCCTGGAATCAAACAGGAGACCGTCTAAAAGGTGATGTCAGATCACATATATAACACCATCGTACCTCACTGGGTTTCCCTCGCTTTCTGATTCAACCCAGCTTTGCGGCTGATAATGATTAGGAGTCTGCTTTAATGGGGAGAAGCTATTTTTGGTAGTTTTCCGTGGAAAAATTTCGGAAAAGTAAATCAGAAATGTACACAAGACTCCTTAGCAGTTTATATTAAGCTTCCTATATCCCTAACAAATAAATAGCAATTGGCCGATCACGATGCTTGGCAGACTATCTGTTTTACTGAAATCACTCTATCAGTCACGATGGCAAAAAAAAACCCAAGAGGGAGGCCACAGTTGCTCTTTAAAACATCATGTGAGCCACAGAACTGTTTGTCCTTGTCTACAGGCTGCTTTTAAACCACCAGCCTGCTGTCCTCCTGATGATCTTACTCTTCTATTGCCTAACTTCAGCCTCGCTGTCTCCAAAATTAAGACTTCCCTTTCCAATTTTCCAACATGTAATTTTATAATCAAGGAAAGGAGAACACCACAGTGGTGACTTAAATATGAAGCACTTAAGGAACTATAAGAAACAATATTTAAGTACAACCTCTCTTGGGGTTTTATAACCGTCTCGAAGGAAGCGACAGCATCCATAACGCCCCTAAGAAGAAAAAAAGTGCATTCGATGAAACAAGAATTTCTTTGCCTTTTTATTTTGATTCGCGTCAGCCCTTCACCCCCATTCCCATCAGTCTTTTAGTAACGAACGAAATGTGTACCAAGTGCTTTTTGTTCTCAACACAAAAAGTTATTTTTTAAGTAATAAGCAAAGTAAATTCAGGTTTGATCAGTGCCAACGAGGGAATGCCAAAACTTTCTGTCAGAGTATCAGGGCTGGGAGAGTAATTACTGAGAGTTCAGAGTGACCAGCCTTTCAGTCTGATTGGCTGTATCACGCAAAGATGCAAAGGGACCCTCACTGCTTGCAAAAGCCACTAAGGGAGACACTCGGACTGGACTACTTCTACTTGAAAGACTGGAAAGCAGAAAGGACATTTCAGACTCCTCACAGGCTCTGGATGCAAAGAAGTAGGGCGGCGAGGTGGGGGCAGGGGTAGGGTGGGGTGGGTGGGGCTTCCTAGGACTCAGGGCTGTTGCTGCTGGTTTTCCTGCTGCAGGCTCCGATATTCTATTCGTCTTCGGCTTTCTGGGTGTTAAGAAAGAAGGGCGGTGGCACCGCGCTGTTAACGTGCCTCCCTAATCCCTGGATGGCAGTGCTGGGTGCCCGCTCCCAGTTGGGGCTGCTTTAGCGCTGGCTGCGGAGGCAAGCACGCTCTGTGTGGCCAGCTTTGCAGTGTTCTGGGAGTCCTGGGGAGGCCCAGCCCAGAACCCGCTCCCCTTTAAACGCTTCATTCCCTGCATTAACTCCCTGCCTACCTGGACGAGCTCAAACAGCTTCCTTTTACTCCACTAAACCGTGAGACAGCTTCTTTGGGGGTATGACTGGGGACCCTTTAACCCCTTTGAATCCAAGGGCTAAAATCATTTCTATGGAATCTAAGCAGGATCATCAATATGAAGATTTTGGCTTAGGAAATGTAATTTTTTTTTAAGGAAACTTACATTTTTCATCATTTTACTGATAAATCCAGTTGCCTGGACTATTTAATAACATTCTCAGTTTGGTGTACTGTATTATAGTTCGTGCATTTCACCTCAAGGCAGGGATTTTTTTTTAAATTTTTTTTAACTTACATCCAAGTTAGTTAGCATATAGCGCCACAATGATTTCAGGGGTAGATTCTTTAATGCCCCTTACCCGTTTAGCCCATCCCCCCTCCCACGCCCCCTCCAGTAACCCCGTTTGTTCTCCATATTTATGGAGAAACATCTCTTATGTTTTGTCCCCCGTTTTTATATTAGTTTTGCTTCCCTTCCCTTACGTTCATCTGTTTTGTCTCTTAAAGCCCTCATATGAGTGGAGTCATATGATATTTGTCTCTAATTTCGCCTAGCATAATACCCTCTGGTTCCATCCACGTAGTTGCAAATGGCAAGATTTCATTCTTTTTGATAAGGCAGGGATTCTTTTAACTTCAGTGTAACTTGGGGATTGCCAAGTCCTCAGAAATTGTGCATGAAGTTGGAGGATACTGGGACGTGTGCATTTTTTTCTGGCAGGGACTTTATAGCTTTCAAGACGTTCTCAAAGAAGTCTGTGATCTCTCACGGGTTAAGAAGCTCTGCTTTAGAAGTACAGGAGGGATACGAATCGGGGTTCAAAGGCGCCAGCTTGGGCGCTTGAGCTCAAGCTCTGCTATCAGGAAAAGAACTAAGACACTTGAACACTCTGAGGCTTTGTTTTCTCACCTGTAGACTCGGCTTTGGATGCTCTGAGTCCACTCAGATAAACCAGGCCTCTGACCTCACGGAGAACCGAGGCCCGGGTGAGCGGCTCCATGTGACCACATGAAAGGGGCACATAACACAGGGTAGGGAGGCACCAGCCTGATCAACGCTTACCTGGAGCTTGGAAATAATTTCATTTTTGGTCACATTCACAAGGTTCATATCTTCCACTGCAAAGGCCGGGAAAGAGATAATGGAAAGAAGTCCAGCGTCAATCTCCTTAGACGTTGATGCTCTTGGCAGCATGGAGAACAGAATAGACTGAATGAGAAACAAACAGGTGGCTTTAACCTGGGAGGTGCTGATAGTTACGTACGATATCTAGAGACCATGACCTTAGCCCCAAGGAACACCTGAATAAGTGTGCCAATTCTGAGTAGAGCTTTTTCCTACCAACACGGCCCTCGCTGGGGGACCTTGCCTACCCAGCCAACGACTCCTGTTCCTTGCGGGAGAGAAGGGGCTCGGGGAGAGCACGGTACTGCCTGGAGCGCATGCTGAGAACTGCTGGTCTCCCTCCCTCGGGTGCCTTCTGTAGACTGTGCTGTGTCTTTAGGACACACAGGAGAGGAACTAAGGGCTAATGCGTCAGCAGGCCGGGGTGTGCTGGCTGTGAAGACGGAGACACAGAAGAACACACATATGGGGCTAGCACAGAGAAATGTCCGGCTTCTGTGGAATGTGACTGGGTGGACTGGGTGATCCAGAACCCACTTGAAGAGGGAGTCCAATCCGAGAGACCACACAAACACTCAGGCAAAATGGTAAATAACAGAATTACTTTAGTCCTAGAACTAGGGTTACTTAGTGGCACTATAACATGGTCTCAATTATAAGGTGGTTGGGTTAGGCACTATAAACGAAAGGAAGGTGAAATGATAAGGAAAGTTTGCAAACGGAAGGTAGCTAACACTGGGATCTAACATGTACAGACATGGGGCTAGCTCCCTGCAAACATAAGCTTACTAACTCTCATATACACATGGTGCACTACACTAACTGATTTTCAAATGTTAAACCAATTTTGCATTCCTGGAATAAATCCCGTTTGGTCGTTAAAAAAATTTTTTTTTTCTATTTTATAAAGAAGGAATTTGGATACTGTGCCCAGGGCACACGAGGGCTCTGAGACTCAGACACAGAGATTCATGTGACAGAACTAGGATTCTAACCGAGGCCCAGCTGGCTATAAAGCTCACACAGTTTCCCCTAGGGACTATGCATTATTAAGATGTATCATCAGCTTGGTTCTGTTAAACCGTAGCTCAAGAAATAAACAGATTTCCCATTCAGGACTATTTAATGTGGGGAAACGGAGTGAGCCGGAAGGTAGGTAAACACGGCGGAACCTTCAGCTTCAGAATAAAGCTCCGTTTTCTTATTTTTATTGTTTTTAATTTTTATTTATTTTTTAAATTTACATCCAAGTTGGTTAGCATATAGTGCCACGATGATCTCAGGGGTAGATTCCCTAATGCCCCTTACCCGTTTAGCCCATGCCCCCTCCCACAACCCCTCCAGTGACCCCTGTTTTTTCTCCATATTTAAGAGTCTCTTATGAGAATAAAGCTTCAGTTTCTAAGGCAAACTGAGCTCCAAGCCCAGTTCAGTAACTAGTCGCTCACTCCTAGGCTCTCTGCCTGCAAACACGGCCCTCCCCCCAGAAGCTCTCTGCGTACAAGCTGATACTTCCACGACCCTGGCGCGGTACCTGGCCCAGAGGGGGCCCTCACTAAGTAAGAGTTTGCTGACTGACCAGCAATCGGTGACCTACTGCCTGCTCGATGGAGTCCCCTAATCTGCAACGAATCACTCCTTTCTCTGACCTGTATTTCATGCAGTTTCTACTAATTTTGCCATTTCTCCCATCTCACCTCTCCTCCACTATCCGTCCCAGCCCTCCCCAAGTGAACTAATGCTTGCTAGTCATCCATTTTGGTGGCACCAAGAAATAAACTTGAGAGAAAACCTGCATGCTCAAAAACCGAAAAAGATGTTGCCTCCAGCAAAAGAAGGTTGCTGTGATTGCTGACTCCGCAGATACACCTCGTGATCATCGTGTCTTGTGTTTACCCAGTACTTTTTAGCTCATCGAGTGCTCTGACAAACTAAGTTCATTTACTCTGATCCTTACAACCGCCTAGTGTGACGGGAGAGGAAGGTGCCAGCACGCCCGTTTTATGGATGAGGGGACTGAAGCTCAAGGAAGCCAAGTACCACCAAGCGAGAAATGTGAGGAATGTGGGCCGCCCGGCTGGCTCAGTCGGTAGAGCATACGACTCTTGATCTTGGGACTACTATGTTCGAGCCCCATGTTGGAAGCAGATTACTTAAAATCTTCAAAAAACAAAACAAAAGCGAGAAAGAAAGAAAGGTGAGGAATGTGACGTGGAGCCCAGTCTTCCATTCCATCAGCCTCCTTCCCTCCTGTCTGGACTGTGAGAGGCTTGGAGCTGTTACCTGGCAGTGTTCGACATCATCAGGCAGCACGTGGATCACTGACTTGCGTCCTCCATGGGCTCCAAAGAGGTCCAGTTCGTCAATTGCCTCAAGGGCTGCCTACAAGCACAGGTGTGAATCAGATTTTCTTTCTAGTAAACGGACACTTTCACAGCCACTACTCCTTTACCATTAAGCAATCTAGCATAAATGCCTTCCCCAAGGTGAGGAAACATATCAGTAAAATTCAGCTAAAGTGTCCTGGAGATAGGTCCTGTCCTTATTTTCAGTGAAATCACAACTTTCCTGGATGTTGCCACTCTTTGTAGAAACAAGAAAGAAAAAGCAGACTAACGTTTCCCCAAATGAAGTTAGTATTTCTCCCAAAGCGTGAGATGTTAATGAGTTTATAACATTGTGTGGTGGGGGGGGGGCACTAAATTCAGACAGCTTTTCTTTCACCTATTTGTGTTAATTTTAACATTAGCAATCTGCCACTTAAGGAAGTTAATTCTTTTAGTATTAAGCTTTCTGTCAGTTGACTGTAACAGAACATATTTATTGTTGTTTTGAAAATTCTAGCTCTGGAGTCTTTATTCTATCCAAAAATATACTTCAGTCTTGAGCAAGAGGGAGGCACATTAAATGTCTAGGGCAAGAGATATAAACCGGTGACTGGCAGACTGAATCTGCCCCACAGGTGTGTTCTGTTTGGCCTGATGAAGTTTCATTTTATTATTTTTTAATGTTTTATTTATTTTTGAGGAGAGAGAGAAACAGAGTGTGAACTGTGGAGGGGCAGAGAGAGAGAAGACAGAATCTGAAGCAGGCTCCAGGCTCTGATCTGTCAGCACAGAGCCCGACGCGGGACTCGAACTCATGAGCAGTGAGATCATGACCTGAGCCGAAGTCGGACACCCAACCGACCGAGCCACCCAGGCACCCCAAGGCCTGAAGTAGTTTTAAAAATGATTTTGAGGGGCGCCTGGGCGGCTCGGTCGGTTAAGTGTCCGACTTCGGCTCAGGTCATGATCTCACACTCCATGACTTCGAGCCCCGTGTCGGACTCTGGGCCGACAGCTCAGTGCCTGGAGCCTGCTTCAGAGTCTGTGTCTCCCCTTCTCTCTGCCCCTCCCCTGCTCATGCTCTGTCTCTGTCTCAAAAATAAATAAAGACATTTTAAAAAAATTAAAAAAAAAAATAAAAATGATTTTGAACTGGAATACTTTTAGAGAAAGTTTCCAGTGCCTCCAATACCCCTCAATACTTTTCTATCTGGCCAGCTTCATTTGTGTATGTTACTTGCCAGACCTGAGCCCACAGGCTTTGGAACTTTTGAGCCCTGCCCTACAAAGCAGTCATATTCTTCAGCTCTCTTTATGACCCAGAAAAGGAGACTGGACATCATACATCCAGATGCCTGGACAACAGCAAGAGCTTAGGCCTGTGGGTGATAATAATGAGGAAGCAGGACACTTATTTTCGGGCACAGGCACACTTCAGTGTAGGAATCCTACATTCTTTACCTATAATCTCAGTTGTCTGGGGTACCTGTGCCACTTGAATTTCATACTTGTGGCTGACTTGAAAAATATGCTCATTAGATTAAATCCATCCCCCTAAAGATGAGAACCAAATCAAAGCAGTTAAAATGCACAGAAGGAAGAACAAACAGGTCAAGACCATCACCTTGGCCATTCCTACAGAGCTTGCGTTCAATTCCGGAATGCCCTGATTAGTCTTATCTCCGCGCTCCCACATTCCATAATCCTGAGGAAGAAAAAGGTAGTCATCAGAGCAGGAAAAAGAGGTATATGAGAAGTGCTAGGGAAACATAATTCCTTTATGTTACCCACAGGCACAATGGCACACGAATATCCATTCTCAAAGGTTACAGGATTCATGGCTGTGCTTGTCCTTAATTTCACTTCATTTGACCTCTGTGTAGAATTTAACTCAAGTGGAACAAAAATGCATGCAAAAACACTCTCAATTTTCTTATTCCTAAAAGTTATCAATTTGTAAGAAATTCCTGATTTGTAGAGAACATGTTTTATTTCTCTTCAAATGACATGTTGCCCCTCTATTTAGCTAATCCCTTTGAACTTAAATTGTAAGATAGAATAAAGAAACTTTAACAGATGCATTATAGCTAGTTGAAGCCAACTAAACCACTTAAAATAATTTAATACCAATTTCTAGCGTTACCTCTTGGGAAAAAGTGCTAAGCAAGGAACAAAAGCCAAAATCAAGTGAGGCACAGAATACTGAACTTGCCCTATCTTTTAAACCAGATTAATAAGAACTGGGTCAGAACATGCCATCCACACAGAGGCTGTGATCCATGCATACCTTTTATAATTCGTATTTTCACCTAGGTGAGGCAAGCGCTGGATACGGTTCTGAAATAACGCTACACGCGCTACTGAAAAATGACAACCCAACAAGAACAGGACCAGTGCCAGAATTGCAGCGTTTATTGTTTGATCTGCAAAGACGAACATTTCCAAAATGTGCACACCAGAGCGGCTTTCGCCTCTGTCCTGCTGGCACACCTTGTAGCTTAGCCCCAGGACTCCTTCCTCCGTAGTCCTCCTATCTGGGCCTTTGCGCATTCCACGCCATTCTCACTCCAACCCCAGAGCCAAGTGACTCATCCTCAGCAACTGCTTTGATCAGCTCACCCCCCTGTGCAGGACTCTAAAATGATAAACCATTTATTCCCCAGGGGCTCCCGGTCAAATGTCTCTCTCCGGCTGGCCACACACCTCTGTTATCTGGCCCCCGCCCCTTGCACGCCCACAAGCAGACTGTTTTCCGCTTGTCTCCAATACTCTGCTTTCAGGCTGTCTCCTCCTTCCCCCGGAGCCCCCTCTCCCCAAGGACCGCTCCCACATTCAGAGCTCATTCCCGCCCATGACTGCACATGCTCTTCCCGCACCGTTCTGCTCACCTAAACCCTACTCACCCTCCAAGGTCTACCACAAGTCCCACCCTTCCCACAAGGACTTCTCTGGTTTCTTTAGACTTGGGCACTGCCGCCATTTGGAGCTGGATCCTGCCGTGTTTGGGCGCTGCCCGTGCGAGGTGGGATGTTCAGCAGAATCCCTCGCCTCCGCTCACTAGGGGCCAGTAGCTCCCTCCACCGTGTGACAAGCATAAAACTGTTACCAGATGTTGTCCAATGTCCCCCGGGAGGGGAAGATTGACCCTCGTTGAGAATCGCCTCTTTAGACCCGGGGTAGCCCTTGGACCAAGCCTAGTTTGCCATGTATTTTTGTAAACAAGGTCTGTCTGGGACACAGCCATGCTCACGTGCTCACGTGTTGTCTAGGGCTGCCTTCCTATGACAATGGCACACTTGAGTAGAAGCAACAGGGACCGTAGGGGCTGAAAAGTTGAAAATCTTTACTGTCTGGCCCTTTACAAAAAATGTTTGCCGACCCTTGCTCTAGACCATAGTGGCGTTTTTGGGTTTGTTTTTTTTTTTTTATTTTGAAAACAAACTCTACCCTTTCTTTACTTCCCTTACACTCAGCTTTGCAAAGGTTCCTTATTTTCTAAGAAGTGCGCAAGGCGCCGCCTTCCATATCAGACAGAAGCCTGGAGGAACTGGGTGGGGTTTATACAGTTTACACCCACCGGCACCGGCCGGGCCCACATCTGGCTCTGGGCCCTCCGCCTGTCGGCTGCGTGGGGGGATCCCCACGCACAGCACAGCAGTTCCTACCCACACGCCGACGCGGCCGCCCTTCACCCTGGGTCAGGCCGGCCCGGTACAGGCCACAGGACACCTTTTGGTCTTATTTCAGACCGGAACAATGGGTTCGAGCAGAGCACGTGGTGCATTCCAAAAACATCAACTCCCCAGCTGCGTTCCAGGACGAAAATGTGCACTCTGTGCGCAGAGGTGACAGTCACAGAGCTCTAACCTCACTAACGTTCTGATCAGCCCCAAACAGTCTGGCCGTCCAAGAATGGTAGGAGTTTTATTCTTCTTAACTGGACACCTGAAAACATTACTGGGGTTGATACTTACAGCGACTTTATATGCAGCTTCTATGTAAAAAACAAGATTCTGTACGAAGGCCACCTCGTCAAGGGTGAAAATAATACGTAAACCTAGTAAAGAAAAACAATAAAGTTACGGACTTACGTTGTGAAGAGAGAGCTGCCAATTACCAACTACAAATACCACACTAGGAAAGAAATCCTTGAACCCCCATTTTCAGTTTTCTTACAAGCGCATCAAAAATTAAGTCTGAAGCATGGGGCGCCTGAGGAGCTCAGTCAGTTGAACATGTGACTTCGGCTCAGGTCATAATCTAACAGTTGATGAGTTTGAGCCCCACGCTGGGCCTGCTGCCGTCACCCTGTCAGCATGGAGCCTGCTTCAGACCCTCCGTCCTCCTCTCTCTCTGTCCCTCTCCCACTCATGCTCACTCTCAAAAAATAAATAAAACATTAAAAAAATTTTTTTTTAATTCAGTCCGAAGTAAATTGGAACGGTTAATGCCTAATCTCTGAAAGAGAAAGGAAGGGAGGAGTGTGTGCCTACAGGTAGTAAAAATGGGAAGAGAAGGTGTGGGGCCTCCTGGTAGTGCTGGATTTGTGCAAAGAAGTTTCCAACAAACCATGAATTTTAGCCCGGAGCAACCAGACACCATTCTTACCCTTGAGTGAGCCAAAGGGTGGGTACATTTCCCCAGTGGCAGATGAGAGAGTAGAGCCCCCAGCGTCAGGAGACAACCCTTAACCTCGTGGAAAGGCGAGCTCCCCGGACCTCCCTAGGGGGCTGCACTGAAGCAGGCGGTGACCAACAGGGCTGGATTTTTGCTTGGGTCCTTTAACGTTTAGTTGATCATGGCAAATACACATACTTTTAAAGTATGAATTCTTGAAGCTGGTAGAGGTATGGTGAGATATGAACTCTTGCATCAATGGGGGGAGTTTGACTAGTAAACTGTTCTGAAAACAACTTGGTAGTATATGTAAGTAGCCTCTGAATGACACCCAACAGAGGGAAGCAAACGGAGAAGGGGTCAAAGTTGGTATTGCAACATTATTTATAATAGGGGGAAAAGAATAAAGGAATGGTTTGATTATAACATATCCACTGATAAAGTCACTAAAATTATGTTTATCGAGAGCTTGTAAGATCATGGGGAAAATGCTCAAGTTACAATGCTATATAATAAAGATTATTAGCCATGCAAATGAAAAGACCTTAAATAGAAAAAAAAACTTGGAGGACACACATTCAAATGAAAATGGACAGGGGAATTTTTTCTTTGTATTTTGTTAAATTTTCCAAACTATTTACAGGTTCATATCAATTTTCACAACCAAGAAGTATTTTTTATAAATGCCCGGTGTATTCACAAAGCTGTAACAATATCATTTGTGGATTTCTGCTAACTTTGAGTTTCACACCTGCAGTCCGAACTACACGGGAAGCCTCTAACTCCAAAGGTCAGTTTACCACTGGTGATGAGAACTTGGCGACACAGCAGCTGACTGACCTAAGCCCTGGCGGCCACAGTTGGGGGGGGGGGGCTGAGGGGCAATGCTCATGGTCGGGGACTTCGGGCCCACTCCCAGCATGGGTACTATGGACTGACTGACCACTCCGGGCACGTAGCCGAGCTCTAGAAATGACACTGTTTGGGTATAATTCAGGTAGATGAGGGTGTGTCTAGAAGGGGGTGAGCCGGGCAGTGAGAGGAAAAGGTGAAGGGGCCAGGCCTGCTAATACTAGAGAAGAAAATCCTAGGAGGGGGTTTGACGCTGTCTGCAGATATTCAGACTGTCAGAAGTAGATCTGATCTCGGCTGCTCCAGTAAACAGTGGCAGCAAGGAAGCTTTGGGATCAACAGCCCTTTGTCCACCAGTCCTCAGAAGGTTGGCTATGAGCATGTCACAGAGTCCATGCATGTAACGTTATCAAGAGCATGCTTTTTCTTTACAGAAATAACTTATTTTGAATTCTAATCAATGCCTGTCCCTCCCCACCCCCTTCTCCCTGTACAATGGGCTCGAATGACCCTGGCTCACCGGAGGCCGTCATCTGGGCCAGGAACAGGAGGAAGAGGGAGGTGGCATCCACCTGGAGGTGGCCCCACTGGTCGTCACCCACCACGGTGCTGCAGGTGGCGGTGTTGTACTTGGCGTGCAGGCTGTCCTTGGTACTCTGAGTGTGCTTGAACTTCTCCACTTTATGTACCTGAGGGAGGAAGCAAGCCGGCTCCACACAGTGAAGGGGCTGACGGCGGGCGGAGGCCATACCCAAAGCCCATCTCTTAGTTCTAGACCTCTTAGCAGCTACCTCTGGGAGCCAGAGGGATGGAAGGCAGCACATGATCCCTAGTGAGCACCACACAGAGGGGCTGTGTGGGGGATTCTTCCCGTCCGCACCAGAAGGGGCCCGGCCCAGTGGGATTTTAACAAGCTCTGCAGGGCAACGGGTCAAGCCAAAGGGTTTCTTTGTCTGCATATGCCCAGCATGAGCTGTGACACACGGGAGGCACTCAGTAAGAGAGAGAGGGAACAAAGAGGCCCCGTTTAAACTTCAACTTCTTGTTTCCTTATGTCCAAAGGAAAGGGCAACTAGGTCTTCGAAGACTAACCGGGCATATGCTGATGAAGGGCGGGGACAGTATCATTCATCTCGGAATGTGTGCAGATCCCAGCAGGATGTTCTGCACACAGTACAAGCTCAATGAATTGTTTTATTTACTCCTCGCTGAAAATACCAGTAAACAGTAACGTCAAGTTTTAAAAACTCAAGCATTTCAACTCAAATGAAAGGAAACCCTTTTATAAACTCAACAAAATAAACAGTGCTACGTGGCTGTCTGGGAGTGGCTTTAAAAAACAATGATATCTGGGGCGCCTGAGCAGCTCAGTCGGTTAAGTGTCCGACTCTTGATTCTGGCTCAGGTCATGATCTCATGGTTCATGGGATCGAGCCCCATGTGAGCTCTGCACTGACAGCGCAGAACCTGCTTAGGATTCTCTCTCTCCCTCTCTCTCTGCCCCTTCCCTGCCCGTGCTCTCTCTCTCTCTCTCTCAAAATAAATAAGTCAACATTGAAAATAAATAAATAACAATGGTCTCTGCCCCATTTAAAAAAAGGGCATGTTCTCCTTTTACACAAGTAACTCTTCAAAAGAGATTCTGAGTAACGGGGTCCTTTGATTCTGGGTCCTTATTGAAGATAATTTAAAAGGACAAAGAACGTAAAATATTTCCTATTTCTCTTCCACTTGAGAAGAAAAGCTCAAGACGCTTTAGGGATGTTAGCTGTCACCATGTAAATGATAAATACCCACTAAGATGACCTGAAAACACATTTGCCATTTTCTGCCTACCTGTCTCATCATGCACTGGAGAAGACCCCGCATCAGTTTCACCACGTTCTGCGGAAATAAAGCGGGATGAGTGACGAGGCCAGCTTCCCTGCTCCATGAAAACCACCTCCTTACCACGTGGTCGGTAACCAGGGCTGCCTGGAGACCTCCCTGAGAAGGCACATCCTGAGCATATACACGTCTTCCGATTGTTTCGATTACCTCCAATCCATCACAAACAAAGAAAATCTGGATGCAGCGACTTATCTCAAATAAAGGGGTTGGACCACATGGCACCTCCAGTTCTGGAATCCGCTGGTATTCTAGCGAGACAATTTTTATAAGCCTAGTACCCTGATGTTTAATTCTGATGTCACAATTCTTAGTAATTCATTTTTGTCATGCTAAAGATGAATTAAGTCCACCATCCTGCCCCAAAGTAATGACACTTTGCCAAAAGAGCCATTTGTGACACCATCACTGGACTATTGAGTAAAGTTCTTACAAAATGCAAGTAGCCGCCAAGGTTACTCAATAATACGTATCGCAACCAACTATTGTAATTATTATTATAAATAATAACAATAGTACGATGATAATCAGACATTCTGCCCAGGAGCTGTATAAAACACTTTGCCTGGGTTCTGTGTAATTCTCGCAAACAACCTTACGAGGTGAGTGTCATTATTACCCCACTTTATAGATGAGGAACCTGAGGCTGAGAAAGATGAGGTGACATTGCTAAAGTCACGCAGCTGGCAGGCGTTTGAGCTCTTAGTCAATACGTTATGTTGCCTCCCACTTCCTTCACAATTCAGGCCCATCAAAAGACTGCTCTTAATATGTCCTATGAGAAACACCATAAAATGAATTCACAAGTGGCTACCGAATGGGACAGTTTGTAGGTCGAAGTAGACTGGCTGGAAGAAGCTCCCACCCAGGACCACGAGCATCTCCTGTCTTGCAGAACGTACGTGGTTTGCCGAGGAGGAATGTAGTAAAGGCCATGGAAGTTAATTACCAGAGAAAAGTCTGGAGTGGATTATCCTTCAGATCCTTCTGCCTCTAAAATCCTAGAATTCTAGAATACGATTTCACTTTAGGTCATAAACTCTTTTGAGGCAGAAAATGTTACCTCACGATAAGATTATAACTAACATTGCTATAATTAACATTTCCTACTGTGTACAGCGTGACCATTTGTCAACTGACTTCCCCTCAAGTAAAGAAAACTTATTTTCCATTATGAAGAGGCACAGTGGTTCCCAACTGGGTGGCCATTCCCATCCTCCAGGGGTGAGGGAACATCTGGAAATGTGGGGCCAGGAGCATTTTTACCGTCACCAAGATAAAGATGGGGACTACCGGCATTTAGTGCGTAGGGACCAAGGAGCCTAAGTGTCCTGCCATGCATGGGCTAGTCTCACACAATGAACGACTGTGCTTCCCAAGCTCCAAGCGCAATAGCATCCCTGCTTCGGATCACTGGAAGATCCCATGTTATCTTCCATAATCAAGGGAAACGTCTCTCTTTAGTTGTCAACCACACTCATCAAAACAACGTGCCCTATTCGTGCCTCGCTATCGTCCGTCACAGAGCAGCAAATCCAGTCAACTCTAGCCTGCGTCAGAAAATGCTTACAGAGGGGGCGCCTGGGTGGCTCAGTCGGTTAGGCGTCCGACTTCGGCTTGGGTCACGATCTCGCCTTTTATGAGTCCGAGCCCCGCGTCGGGCTCTGCACTGACAGCTCAGAGCCCGCTTCAGATCCTCTGTCTCCCTCTCTCTTTGCCCCTCCCCTGCTCACACCCTGTCTCGCAAAAATGAATAAACATTAAAAAAAAAATTAAGACGAAAAGAAAAGCTTACAGAGGAGAGGTACACGGTGTGTGTGCCATGCGTGCACACGTGTGTGTAGACAGGCAGGCTTTACTTTGACTTCGTCTCAAGGGAGGATGGGAAGTTTGATGAACATCCACATTAAATTATTACGCTGCTAAGAACGGCTCACTTATGTGCTAGCTATCCAACTTCTTGGGGGAGCACCCAGTGCTTGCTATAAGCATTTTTTAAAACTACCTCTTGCTCTACCTCCAAGGCTTGGTGATTGTATCGCCTTACGCTCAGCAACGTCCAGTCAAACCCAAACCATCCTTCCCTTGCTCCCACAGACAGGTTTCCTAAGTTTCCCTACTGTCATCAAGGCTGCCCACTTTGGTTGCTATCACAAGCACTGATCGGGCTGTAAGAACTCTCCCTGGGTCTGACAATCGGCTGGCTGGGAGGGCCAAGGAGGAACGTACGAATCAAAGATAAATCCAAAAGGTTCTCCTGCTAAGAGAACTATAATTTTATATGTCAATGCTTTCTGCTTCAACACCGTCACTCCAAATACTCTGAAAATACCTCCCGTGCTCAAGGGCAGAATATTTTCTTACGTACTCAAGGATGGCAAACCTTTGCTTCTGCGGGTACGTCAGTTTCTGATCTGAGAAATCAGTAAGAGGATTTCACAGTGCTGTGATGGTAACATAGGCATGAATATTGGACAACACCAATGTGACTCAAAATTAAAAGGTAACTATAAATTAATAAGACCGCTTTGGAAGGGCTCAAACTAGAAAGGAATTTCTAAGGGAAATTCCGAAAATGTTTCAAGCAGTAGCAATACCGTTTGGAGAAATACCCTTTCAACATGACTACTACAAAGCATACACTCTGGAACGTATATTTCTGGTGTGTTCTTTGAAAACAGTCATTATATGAGTGCATAACGGCACTGTGTATGTAAGTATATGTAAAATGGACAGAGCATGTGAGAGAGACATGTAGCTAGTTAGAAATGTGGACGCTTTCTTTTCCTGTTCAGAATAGTATGATTTTTATTGTTTTTAAGGAAGACAAAAAATCTCAAAGAGAAAGACCAATGAGAGGTGGAGGCTACCTAAGCGCCCCCCTAAAATATTCTATAGCAGGAATGGACGGGGCGCATACACCGAACTGTTCTACACAAACAGCTACCTCCTTGGAGGCTTTTCAGTTCAGGGGAAAGGGGCTGAGCAGCCAACGTGGCTGCCACTCGGCATTACCTGCTCCAGCTCGTAGGCTTTGGCCTTGTCCTCGTCGCGGTCAGCATTCTTGCGGTAGGCCATGCCCAGGCCCCACACGGCCAGAATGCTGTAGATGTTATCCCGCACCCAGGCGTCCTTCTGTTCGTGACTGGCTGACAGCAGCCCTGTGACCGGATTCTGTTAGAGAAGAGACACAAAATGACTCAGCGCCACCTTCACCCAACTCCTGGCAAACGGATGCCTGCCCTGAGGGGGCACGCCGAGGGCCGGGATGAGGAGTAGAAATCGGAGTTCTGGTCCTTCCTTGCTCTGCCACCAACAGCATGGTCTTGCGTGAGAAGTGACGTCACTCCTCTGTGGTTCTCTCATCTATATAATAGAAATATTAGCCTAGAAAGTCTCTAGGGAACCTTCTAACGCTGAAGTTCTTGTGCTTTCAAACCAGATCATACCGTTGTGACAAACAAAATGACTGACCAATAGAAAAAGCCCACGAGTCTTAACAAATCTGCGCACCGCAGGCTTCAGGTCTTTTCCTGCCTGTATGCTTCCATATCAGCTGGGGAGACATTGAACCTGGAGCGAGAGACCCAGATGCGGGGCCCCACTCCACCAGTCCAGCTCTGTCTGCCAGGGGAAGCTGCCTACCCTATCCGGGCCTCCAAGGCCTTGTCTGTAATCCAGACATTTCACGTGCCCAAAAAGGACACGCTAGGCAACAGGACATCGGAGGTCCTATTTAGCTATGATATTTAAAATTTGTTTTTAATGTTTATTTATTTTTGAGAGGGACAGAGCGCGAGCGGGGGTGGGGCAGAGAGGGAGGGAGACCCAGAATCCGAAGCTGGCTCTGGGCTCCGAGCCATCAGCACAGAGCCCGACGCAGGGCTCGAACCCACATGCTATGAGATCGCGACCCGAGCTGAAGCCGGACGCTTAACCGACTGAGCCACCCAGGCGCCCCTAGTTATGATATTTAAAAGGGCAGCCGAGTCACTAAAAAGCCAGATCTTCACACACAAAAAAGTACACACAATATTCTTGACAGCATTAGTCATAATAACTCAAAAGTGGAGACAACCCAGATGGCCGTCAACTGATGAATGAACAAAATGTAGTCTATACAATGAAATATCATTCAGCAATAAAAAGGAATGAAGAAGCATTCATATATGCTACAGCATGGGTGAACCTGGCAAACATAATGCTAAGTAAAAAAAAAGCTGGTCACAAAGGACCACATATTCTCTCATTCCATTTATTTTTTTATTTATTTATTTTTTTTAATTTTTTTTTCAACGTTTATTTATTTTTGGGACAGAGAGAGACAGAGCATGAACGGGGGAGGGGCAGAGAGAGAGGGAGACACAGAATCGGAAACAGGCTCCAGGCTCCGAGCCATCAGCCCAGAGCCCGACGCGGGGCTCGAACTCCCGGACCACGAGATCATGACCTGGCTGAAGTCGGACGCTTAACCGACTGCGCCACCCAGGCGCCCCCTCTCATTCCATTTATATGAAACGTCCAGAATAGGTTAACCTGTAGAGATAGAAAGATTGATGGTTGTTTAGGGTGGGGGTGGGGGGCGGGTAGAAGGAAATGGGGTGTGAGTGACTGTTAACAGGTCACTTTCTGGAGCTGATCAAATTGTTCCCAAATTGATCACGGTGATGATGCACGACTCTGTAAATATACTGAAAACCATTACACTGTTTACTTTAAACAGATCAAGTGTATGGTAAGTAAATTATATCCCAATAAAGCTATTATTTTTTTAAAAGCCAGTGCTAATAACTCTGTGCCTAGAAATAAAATGGATAAGATAGAAAAAGAGTGACATAAAGATCAAGCCTTGTTGACCTGTCCTGAAAATATGTAAAGAAATATGTATCTGATAAAATACGTCCAATAAAATACAGAGCCTTGCCAGCTTAAAAAAAATTACTCAAAAGAGTACTAAATTATTTACAAGGAGGCTCACGAAAAAACTGTTGGGTACTTTCAAAGTGATAGTGCCACGGTTATTAGATAAAAGAAAACACTGGCATAGTTCCAAACGGTCCCACATGAGGAATTAAATAGTGGACTTTCTCCTTTAATCTATGCCCTCTTCAAAAGCATCTAAAACTCAACTGAAACCACCCACAGGGGCAACAGAGTTTTGTCTTTTGACACAGTTCCATGGCCAACAATTGTACATCAATCATTTTAAAGAACTGAAGTCTAGAAATGGCTGAGTGAAGGTGTGAGTCTTAGTCCAACATCGGACAACTGGGGTTTTTTAAAAAAAAATCCAACAATGTATAACATAAGCAACTTTAACTGTTCTGAGGCCAGTTGGCTAATCCCAGGATGGGAATCATCAGGAGATCCAGAGAAAGAAATCAGCCCCTTCCTCGAATATCCGTCAACTGAGAGTCCACGGAGACAAACAGCCTTCCGATGAGACAGCAGTGACCGCCGACACATAGTGCCAAGTGTGGTTTGGATTATGAAATGTCACTGTCCTGTTAGCTGGAAGTTACTTCTTTGATTCTTTACTTTCGGCTTACCTGGTGAACTGGATTAGTTTATCTCCACCCAGAGCTATTATGTCTGAACCCCTCGTTTCACTACAGGGATGCAGTCTGGGTGTTGAGATCCCCACATTCAAAACTACCTACTCAAACCATGTTAAACTGCGGTGCTACTGCACTCAGTGAAAGGAGTTATGAACAGTAAGTTATGAATTTAGTATTTAAAAAAATTTTTTTAATGTTTTTTTTATTTTTGAGACAGTGACAGAGCATGAACGGGGGAGGGGCAGAGAGAGAGGGAGACACAGAATCGGAAGCGGGCTCCAGGCTCCGGGCCCGATGAGGGGCTCGAACCCGTGAACCGTGAGATCATGACCCGAGCCGAACATGGACACCTAACGGACTGAGCCGCCCAGCGGCCCCTTGAATTTACTATTATGAACTGAACATTCGTGTCTATTCAGATGCTGAAATCTAATTCCCAACGTGATGCTATTCGGAGGTGGGGCCTTTGGGAGGCGATTAGTGAGGGTAGAGCCCTCACGAATGGCACCTAGTGCCCTTACAGAAGAGGCCAGAATGCCAGCTTGGCTCTCTCTGCCACGTGAGGTTGCAACAAGAAGCCGGCTGTCTGCAACCTGGAAGAGGGCCGTCACCAGAACCTGACCATGCTGGCACCCTCGTCTTGGACTTCCCAGCCTCCAGAACTGTGAGAAATAAATTTCTTGTTGTTTCAGCTCGCCTGTCTGTGGTATTTTGTTACGGCAGCCCCAGCTAAGACTGGCTTCTTTCTCTAAGTTTATAAAAAATAATGTGCTGTGTTGGAAGACGTGGGAGGTTCCATTTTGATGTAATTCATAAAAACTGAAACGACCACAGATCGGGAGATACTGTGCGATGCCCAGTCTGCTGTCCCTTCTTCTAACCGAGCCAGTGGCTTTGCCTTTGTGCTACTTACTCCCCTCCTTAAAGGTGGCTTATGCTGCACCCCTGCATTCTCACTCACTGGCTTCTGTGAACCACCCAACAGGTCCATCCCTTCAGAGCTCTCTCTGGGGTCTTCTACTTGCATTAGCTATCTAAACGGAAGGGGCCTTCATATGTGCTGCAATTTTACAAGCCAAACACAAACAGCCAAACTGCAGACAACAGGAGGAAAGTGGGCAGAGCTTTTCAGGCTAAGCCAATGGCTTCAGATATGATCATTTTAACCATATGCTGCTTTCCAATCTTTTAAAAATATAATTGTATCTATACCCACACATAGCCTTCAGCATATTATGTTTAAGAGCAGAGGTGCTGGGAGGCACCTGGGTGGCTCAATCGGTTAAGCATCTGACTCTTAATTTCGGCTCAGGTCATGATCCCACAGCCATGGGATCGAGCCCCGTGTGGGGCTCTGCACTGAGCGTGGAGCCTGCTTAAGATACTCTCTTTCACTCTGTCTCTCCCTCTGCCCCTCTCCCCAACTTGCGCTCGTGTGCTCTCTCTCTCTCTCTCTCAAATAGTGTTGTTGGTGAGAATTAAATGAGTAATCCAAATCAAGCATTTTGGACTGTATCTACCATAAATCAGTGCTCAATAACTGCTAACTATATTATCAACCTATCTGAACAGATTTCATTCACATTACTTTTTTTTCATAGAATTATTTCAGGAAATCCGATGGGGAAGATGGGGATAGTGGTTAGGGGAACAATCTACAAGTCTGCTTAGCGTAACCATCATTATTTTTATTAGGAAAAAAAAAGCCCGGTGCTTTCTTTTATTTTTACAGTAAATATGGCTAGTGGATATATTTATCCCATTGATATGTTTGAGGAAAAAACCCTGGCAACTCTCCACCCTCTCCACCCCCAGGTCTTTGCCTTTCCCCTTCTTTAGCCCTGAATTTTGCTCACTCAAATCAATCTTCCCTGTTTTACTAAACTCTCTGTGTACTTTACCTGTAAGAGTAAATTAACATTAGTGACAAATTCTGTAATAAGCACCATGACCGCTCGACAACCGTTTCCTGAGGTGACAGGTGTGGGGCCATGAAGGAAGAAGATGGGGCGGACTGCAGACAATGGGGCTATGAGGACAGCCATGAAGAGTCAAGGGTAGTGTCCCAATGTGGAGAAGGCACAGGCCTGAGCCAGGAGACTCAGCACCCCTGCTGTGAGGGAACTGACAATGATACCCTTCAACTCGAGGAGAAGAGGCCTGAGACAATGAGCCCAAAATAAATTGTGTTTCATTGAGCACAAGGGGCCAACAGTTGGGCATCTTGTCCTTCAGTTTCAGTCATCTGATGGCCCCTCTTACCTCTTCCACCACTTCTTCATTTCTAAATTAGAGAAAGTGCCCTTCTTGGCGCCTATTTGTGAGAGAAAGGCCTAGAATGAATTGGGCCCAGGGCTTGGCGTCTTAGAACACCAAACATTCATTTCTCTTCCATGCCTCATGTCCGTCGCTGGTCGACCGTGGTTCTGCTCGGTCTTGTCTTTCTTCTAGGAACCAGGCTACTGGAGCAGCCTATACCCACAACACTGCCCATCCCATGGCAGGGGAGAAGAAAGACAGCGAACCCTGAGCTGCCTCTTCAGGCTGCCAGCCAGAATGGACACATATTACCTCCCCTCTTATCTCATCCATGAAACCAAGTCTCATGGCCATTTC